GGTTTAGGGGTTTAGGGTTTGGCCGGTAGGAACTCGAAGCGATCAGGAATCTGGATGTAGCTCGGAGAGCGCATGGTTCGGCGGCCTTCAGGACCCAGAGGCCCCAAGACCCCTGAATTAAGGAATATACCTTAAATTATAGGGGCCTGAATATTATGATTTAAGGTATATTCCTTAATTAAGGCATACTGGGTTCTCCGGGGAATGCTTTCGATTTTCCTGCAGGCTCCTAAAGATGTGCTGGCGCCTGTGGCATAAATATAATCTTTGAGCTTGAAGGGATTGAACCAGCATGCACGTGCAAAAGCCACGGCTTGCACGCTCTACTGCAAACCAAAAGCCAGCACCTTTTTGGGCATGGACTGATCTTCGGGTATTAGTAGTCCATGGTTGTTTAGGTCGTAGTGCTGAAAATTTACTGTTTATTGCAAGCCTGGGCTAGTGCACAGAATGTAGTTTCAGTATTTCAACTGCCGGCTGTTCATGCTTTGATGCTTGCTCATTCCCATGCACTTCCACATGCCTACCGCAGAGAGCTCTCGTAGTGAAACCGGTAAGCAGGGAATGCATCGAGAGACTTAGTTTTAGCTGCCAGGTCTGGACAGTTGCATGGCTAGCAGATCCAACTACAGCTCTTCATGTATAGGGTTTAATAACCCTAAACCCTAAACCCTAAATCCTACACGCTAAACCCTAAACCCTAAACCTTATGCTGATGTTGAAACTTAGGGCTGCCTTTTAAAGTGGGAGCCTCCCTGTAGCATGTCAGTTAAAGTAGAAGTTGGCTTGCTCAGCGGCAAGACTGCCACCGTGGAAGCAGCCGTGGATGAAGAAGTCGAAGCATTGAGGCTTCGAGCTCAAACAGCGCTGGGAGTGGGACAAGGGCGGCTGTTGGACTCATCTGGGAACGTGCTGGATGTGTGTGCATCGATCAAGGATGCCAGAGTACTGACGGGTGACCTACTGACCTTGCACCTTGGTAGGGTTCAAATTCAAGCCAATCGCCGCGCATTTGCTGCCATTCTAGGCGATGGATCCTTGGCGACGTGGGGCGCTGACGATGCTGGTGGCGACAGTAGTGCTGCGCGTGGTAAACTGAAGAACGTGCAACAGATCCAGTCCTCTGGTAGGGCCTTTGCTGCCATTCTTGGTGATAGATCTGTCGTAACCTGGGGTGATTATGAATTCGGTGGCGACAGCAGTGCAGTGCAGGAAAGGCTGCAGAACGTGCAGCAAATCCAGGCTTCTTTTTGCGCATTTGCTGCTGTCCTTGGCGATGGATCTGTCGTGACCTGGGGTGATGCTGACTTGGGTGGCGATAGCAGTGCCGTGCAGGATCAGCTCAAGAATGTGCAGCAGATACAAGCCTCCAGCTACGGTTTTGCTGCTATTCTTGGGGAAGGATACGTTGTGACCTGGGGTCGCGGTGATTTGGGTGGTGACAGTCGTGCTGTGCAGGATCAGTTGAAAAGCGTGCAGTACATCCAAGCTTCGGGCTACGGTTTTGCTGCTGTTCTTCGTGACGGATCTGTCGTTACCTGGGGCGATGCTGACAGCAGTGTCGTACAGCATCAGTTGAAGACTGTTCAGCACATCCAAGCCTCTTCCTCAACCTCTTTCGCTGCCATTCTTGCCGATGCATCCGTTATCAGTTGGGGTGATGCCGAGTTTGGGGGAGACAGTGGTGCGGTTCAGGATAAACTGAAGAATGTGCAGCAGATCCAGGCCTCCAGCAAGGCTTTTGCTGCCATTCTGGCTGATGGATCTGTCGTGACTTGGGGCGATGCTGACTTTGGGGGCGACAGTAGTGCCGTGCAGGACCGGCTGCAGAACGTGAAGCAGGTCCAAGCCTCTGATCGCGCTTTTTCTGCCGTGCTCGGCGATGAATCTGTCGCGACCTGGGGAGATGCAGAGTATGGCGGCGACGATAGTGCTGTGCAGGATCAGCTGAAAAATGTCCGGCAGATCCAAGCCTCGTATGGTGCTTTTGCTGCCATTCTCAGCGGTTCATCCGTTGTCACGTGGGGTAATGCTGGGCTTGGTGGTGACAGCAGTGCTGTGCAGGATCAACTGCAGACTGTGCAGCACATCCAAGCCTCTTACGGCGCTTTTGCTGCTATTCTTGACGATGGATCCATCGTGACTTGGGGTGATGCCGAGTACGGTGGCGACAGTAGGTCAGTGCAGGGCCTGCTCCGAAAAATTATTGCTTGGGCACCTGAATCGCCAAGTCTCGGCCTTTTCGTTCAGGGTTCTTCAGGGGTTTTTAAGGTAAGCTGCGTGAACAGAGATTGAGGGCGCATGTGCAGTTGCAAGAAGCTTGTGTACCCTTACTTGGGGATACAGTCATAGCAACTGTAGTTCGCTACGTATAACCCCGCTTGCTGAGTTCCTTTGGTGGTTGGATATCCTCCGTAGGTCTTTGCAGGAGAAACCTCGACTGCACAGCTCTTGGGTACTTCCCTAGAGTTTGGTTCGCTCTGGTGTGGTATTGTCTCTTAGGAGCCCAATAGGTAAACTTTAGCACTTTTTTGGTATATTAAGCCCCTACCAAAAGAACAGCTTAAACTTTTTTGGGCCAGGGTACTGGGCAGCTAAGGTCTTTTTGCACAGGACTTGCACTCGAACGGTGTCCTAAATATAAACCACAAAAAGGAGCCACTATGGAGCCTGTGGGTAGGGTTTAGGGGTTTAAACCCTAAACCCTAAACCCTAACCCTAAAGCCCTAAGGGCTCAGGGCTTAGAGGGTTTAGGACTTTTCTATCGTAACTTCCGACGTGCCATCCTGCGGCCCAGGTGACGGCAACCGTGGGAAGCTCAAGAAGCACCCTTGCTTTGGGGGTTTAGGGTTTAGGGTTTAGGATTTAGGGTTTAGGGTTTAGGATTTAGGGGTTGGGTGTTAGGGTTTAGGGTTTAGGGTTTTTGTAGGGTTCAGACGTGTTTATTCGGGTTTGTGGGGTTGCTGCTTGGATCAAGTGGCGCAGTAAGTACGGTCATCAGCATGGGGAATCTACTCCAAGACCTACAGTTTCTAGCTATTTGTCGCCCAAACTAACAAACAGTACTCACAAGCCAGAGACTCTTACCCCCTAATGATATCTAGCCAAAACCAAGCAAATCTGATACCTCGTGTTTGGATAGCCACTCTATGGCTAGGATCCTGGTACAAGAAATAGTGGTAAACGAACGCAAGGCAGTGCAACCAATGGTTAGGCACGGTTTGGCTTCTTACATTTCAGAAATTCAGTTTATCTTTTTCAGCTGAGTTTGCCATGCTGTCGTAATCGTCTTCCTTAAAGTCTTATAGTTCCTTTATTGCAGCTATACTAGAACATGCCGCCAGGGAATGAATACTTAGGCATGCAAGGGTCATAAAAGGGCCTGAGCGCTAGGTATTTGGGATCCAATGAGCATTGCTGTGGAGGCGACGGGAAGTATAGGTTTTCGTTTAGGGTTTAGGTTCAGGTTTAGGGCTTAAGGTTTAAAAGGTTTATAGGGTTTGCTCCAATGGTGAAGTTTGGTGTTGGAATGATGATCTGGACGGTTCTTTCGTCTTGGCGTTATAGACTCAGCGCTTGGGGTTGCTGTGCTGGGGCCCTCCAAAGTGATAGGGGAACCCTAGACCCTAAACCTTTCGAAGAGTTTTCCAGCCATGTTCAACTTAGACAGCGCTTCAGCTGGGGTCGTCGGAAGCTTCCGGGAGGTACTCCGTAATGAATAATCGGCAGTATTATTCCCTTATAGGCCTTGTACTATAGTTAGTCATGCTATTGATGCCCCAAATCTCTATTCCAATCCTTAGTTCAAGCCCCTACACTACATGGGGTGCTCTCCAATTTGATCTGCCATCTGGGTTCCCTCAAAAGTACGTCTTTCACGTCATATGGACGCTTGATTTACCAATTACCCATAGGCCCCCTAAGTAGTTCCTTTTTATGGTTCATATTTAGAATCCTATAAGGTACTCCCAAAAAGGAACTACTTAGGGGCCTATGGGTAGCCACATGACTAGGCTGTAAGAAGTAGAGGGAAGCCGGAGCCTTCTAATGTAGGGTTTAGGGGTTTAGGGGTTTAGGTAGGGGCCAGGGGCCTAAACAATTTTCAATAATATTGTGGGCTCCTTATTACAGCCATGATAAGTATACCCGACTCTCATTATCAAGGCCCTTTACTACTTGGTTGAGCCCTGCCAAATACTCGTTTGAGGTTTGGGGGCTTAAGGTGCAGGGTTTTGGGTGCAGTTTAGGCATTGGCTTAGTGCTACTGTAGGGGCTGAGGTCCCGAGGCTGCTTGACCAAGCGGCATTCGGAATTCTAGAACTGCAGCAAAACCTTCCGAAGCGATGCGTCGCCAAGGTACTTCAAGTACCTGCGGCTCTTTTTCGAGTCCATGAATGCCTTGCCCAAGCAAAAGCGGAAGCTCTGGCGTGGCCTCTCCGTGGACCTGCACAGCAACCCTCAGTATCCGATCCTGCACAGTCCGCTAGGGTTTAGATTAGGGGTTTAGTAGAGTTTAGGTTCCAAGCACCAAAAACTTCGAGCTGCAAACATTATAGATCCCAAATCCTACACTGAACCTAAACAAGGCCTTGGGATGTGTATATCTTTTATGCCTCAACCCTATCCCGACAGCATCGCCCCTACATTGCTGGCCTAAACCTGAACACCAACCCCTAGTGCATATATTCCTGCAGGTCTGGGGTGATCAGCGTTTCGGGTCCAGCCGTTTGTTCAACCTTGGGTTCCGCATCCTCCGGGTATGTGCATGTAGCGGCTTGATGGAATGGAAAGACCTATAGTAGGGAACCACTAACTCAGATGGGCATGCATATGTACATACATACATATGCATATACTTATGCATATCCATATATACATAGACATAGACATGGACATAGACGTAGACATACACATACACATATACATATACATATACATTCATCCATGCATGCATACATGCATACACTACATGCATTACATGCATTACATACATACATACGTACATACATACATACATACATACATACATATATACATACATACATTTATACATACATACATACATACATACATGCATGCATACATACATACGTAGATACATACATACATACATACATACATACATACATACATACACATACATACACACACACACATATATATATACACATACATACAAACCTATGTCTACATATACATATTCATATAAGTATACAAGATGTCTACATATACATACACACATATACATGTTTGTGTATGTGTACATGTGCGCGTACATAGACATAGACATACACATATACATATACGTATACAATACATTGACAACTACATAAACATATACATATGCATACACACATGCAATCACACATGCGTACATATGCATATACATATATGTATATGTATGTATGTATGTATGTATGTATGTATGTATGTATGTATACATAAACATACAGATACATACATATACATGTATGTGCCAATACGTATGTATATGTATCTATAATATATGTATATATGGAACTATAGATATATCAATGTATGTGCGCGCGTGGTTGCTAATTTAGTTCATGCAGTCATAGACTGGTTCAGCCTGTAGCATGCCCTTAAACATTAAACCCAATCCAGCTAGCCATTAACCCTAAGCCCCAATCCACCTACTCAGTTTTTGGTGTAGTGCGGCTCTGGCCTGAGCGATCTCGAGTCTCCAGTATCAGATCTAAACCCCGGAAACTAGGACCCAGAGTAGGCCCTTATTCCCTTTTTTAGGGTTCAGGTTCCCTTTTAAAGTCCTTTAAACCAAGAAGGGCACCCTTTTTATTCCTAGGTTTCTCTTGGGTCTAGGAAACAAGAACCCCCCCAGACCTCCCCTTCTAAAACTCGAGCCCTATGTAGACGTCCCAAGATAAACCCTAAGCTTTAAACCATCCTGGTAAGGACTTCTACTCTGTATGGCAGGTGGAAAAGGGCCCGTAAAACAAAAAAACCATCGGAATTGCTGAAGAGCACTCTCCAATTTACTGGGCCCAGTCATTAGCCATGCAACTGTAAAAGTTGCAGGCTGATTGCCATAGGTCAGGGTACTTGAGGTAATGCAACCTTTGGTCCACCTGCAAAACGAGATCCAATTTCCCAGCACCTCCACAGCGACCATTTCCACGTCTTCTCCCTGGTTCTTAGTAGGGAATGGGGGAATGGATCCCTATGATAGTCCCTTGAGGTCCTCTATAGTAGGGACCCATTCCTCCATTCCCTACTAAGAAGCAGTCAGTCTTTGTCAGCATCGGCTCCATCCCCATCACTTCCTTCGGTCTCGGTTCGCACGCCACGGATTCCAGGTACACGCCGCAGATCCCAGAAACCAGGCCCCCTTAAGTTTGAAACACTGCTGCCCTAAACCCCAATGAAACCTTCCGGGGTTTAGGTGTAGGGTTTAGGCCCTAAAAGAAACCTTCAACCCTGAACCCCCTAAACTTACAGGGTGTAGGGTTTAGGGCCCTAAAACAAAACCTTCAACCCTGAACCCCAAAAGCTTTCTAATTCTTCTGCCCTAAGTCCTGAACCCTCACGGTCCGAAGCCGTGGCTCGCAGCCCTGCGCCCTAAAACCATGAGCCGCCAAGCTCAAGCCCCCCTACTTATACATATATATATATATACATACATACATATATATATAGAGTGTATATAGAAAGTGTGTATACAGAGTATAATATATATATATGTATATATAAAGAGTTTTCGTATAGATAGAGGTCCTTATGCAGGTTTCGGGTTTATGGCAGGAGTTTAGGGCTTCGGGTCTTTATGCTATCCTCAACCCTGTAAGCTACACCCGAAGACCTCGTAGTTGTATCGTCATGTACCCCAGAACTCCATCCTAATTATATGAAGGCCTCTACACTACAGTCTAAGACCTCGTGGTTTCAGAAGCTGTGACCACTCAGGTAATTGACGACCTCAGTTTTCGGAAAGCTATGGCACTTCAGGTACATTAAGTTGCTATGGAGGTAGCTTCTCTAAATTAGGGCCCTTTTTTGGGTCCCCAAAACCACTACCACACCCTCACCCCAAACCCTAAACCCTAATTTAGATGACTACCCCTATTCAGCTCAGGTACAAAGTGGGTGGCACCGTGGTTTGGTGGGGCATTTCCAGCTGTACCTCAGTCCGGCTCTCAGATTCGAAGGGAGGGTTTCAGGCATTGGGGGATCCGTTATATGAAGGTTCTGTCTGTAAGGGTGTTCATAAGGGTTCGATAAGGGTGTTTAGAAGGGTTGGAAAGTGTTTATAAGGGTTCTATAACGGTGTTTATAAGGGTGTTTACAAGGGTGTTTAAAAGGGTTTCTTTAAGGGTTCTATAAACGGTTCTGGATGAAGGATTTCGAATCTGCTGTTTGCTGACGTTTTGTGGTCTGTATGTAGCTTGAGAAGTGGCGCTTGGTGGCATCTCTGCAGGACCAGAATGTCGCAAAGAACTTCGCCAAAGGATGCGGAGGAAAGTGTGCCTTGCTTGCATCACTCCCAAGGGCTTTAGGGTTGGTACCCACAGGCTCCTTAGTAGTTCCTTTCTGTGGTTGGTATTTAGGATCCTATAAGGTAATCCCAAAAAGGAACTACTAAGGAGCCTCTGGGTAAAGACAAGTGCAGGTGTTCGCGAAGGCTGTCGTAGAGGCAGCCGGTGACTACGAAGAGCCCCTAAGCACTAATTAAGGAAACCCCTGAGCCGATAAAGGCCTGAAACTGCACCCTATGGACCCTAAACCCTGCACATGTCAATCCTGTGTAAGCCTCTGGCTGTCAGGACCTAACATGAGGAGCTCCGGTCAATTCCTTTCGGCTTCAGGGGGGCCTTTGTAAAGGCCCCTACATAACCCTAAGAAAACTCAAACAACATGAAGCCTTTGTTGCATACTGCAGAACGTTCATAAGACCCTATAGAACAGTCATAAGTCTCATACGTCCATAAACCCTAAACCCAAAAGCACCCCTATAATCCTGAGGCCCGAAGCCCTCAACCTAAAACCGAAGCACGATCGTAGCCTTGGGCCCTGCAGGTACTGTCATCACGGTGGAGTCGAAGACCGCATCCGACATCTCCCAGGTGTTCTCCAAGGGCTCCCTTAACGGCTTACAAAGAGTTTAGGGTGTAGGGTTTAGCGGCTTGTAGGGTTCAGGGTTTGGGGTTTAACGGCTTGTTAGGGTTTAGGGTTTAACGGCGTATAGGGTTTATAGGGCCCATAAGTTGTTTAGGGTTTCCTTTAACGGGCTCCTTGAAGGTTCCAGGGGTTCCTTTCAGGCATCCTTAAAGCGATTTGTAGCGCTTTGGGGCTTAAGGGTTCCCTTAAGGGAGGGTTTGGGGTTTAGGGTTTAGGGTTTTAGGGCTTTGGGTATAGGGTTTAGGGTTTAGGGTTTAGGGTTCAGGGTTTAGGGTTTAGGGTTTAGGGTTTAGTTGTAATGGATCTGGAGTGTTTTTGGGCTTGGGGCTTCGGGGTTTAGAGGGGTTAGAAGCAGCAAAGGGTGGGTTTCTAGGCTTCAGCAGACAGGGCTTAAGATTTATAGCTCCGGCGTATGGGTGTCAGGGTTCCCGGACCCTGTTGATGGATAACACCATCCTGTAGTGTAGAAGCCTATATAAGCAATTAGCATTGTTACCGCTAGGGTTCCTCATTATAATATAATGCTTTAAAGGAGCCCCAAGCCCTATTCTATCTGTTGAGGCCCCTACATGTACTTGAATAGCTCCAAAGATTCACCTGACGCTCCAATTCACGAAATCGGCAGCAGAAGTACAGGTGCAAAAAGCCGATCCGAGAACCGTGCAAGCTCCGAAGCCTCGAGCTCTTAGGTGGTTTAGGGTTTCTGCCAGATCATGTTGAACGTTTTAGGGTTTAGGGTTTAGGGGGGTTTAGGGTTAGGGTTTAGGGGGGTTTAGGGTTTAGGGTTTAGGGGGGTTTAGGGTTTAGGGTTTAGGGGGTTGAGGGGGTTGAGGGCTTAGGGTTTAGCGGGGTTTAGGGTTTAGGGTTTCCTCTTCCTAGATTCATCCGCGAGTTCAATTTCCATACAAAACCCCCGCAAGCGAGAGTCCAGCTCTCAAACCTGAAATCATCGGCTCCTTCTGGACGCTAATGGGCGGAGTAAGAGCTGCGTTGGTAAGGAGTTCCGAAGTGAGCCTTCCATACCCATATATATATATATACAATATATATGTATATATATATATATATATTATATATATATATATAGATAGATGGATAGATGGATAGATATAGATATAGATAGATAGACAGGGGTTGGTAGCGGCACTTTCAACTCCCAAACTAGCTGCGCTCCTTACCAACAACCTAGACTATCGCATGCCGTCAAGCCTCCAGCTGACATAGTCATAGTGCTAAACCCACCCCAGACCCAAAATCCCTCAGGTGACTTTCTACAGCAATGAGAAGGAGAGCTTACTCAGCCCTGGTACGGAGCTGAAAGTGAAGAGCAACAAGTGCCTTGTACTGAAACGGAGGATTGCGCTTCTTACAGCTCTAAACCCAAAGCTCCAAACCACAAAATGTCTTAGTCCCTAACCCTTCATTGAGAGTTCAGGAACCCAAATCCCAAAAGCAGTTGGCTGAGTCATTTAGGTTGGGGTTGCTACCTTCGAGACTCTGGTCGCCTTGCAGTTTTGGGTGTGGGCTTTCGTGGCTCAGGTCTTGTATGTGTGTCAGGGTTTAGCGGCTTAGCGTGTAGCAGTTCGGGTTTCGGGTTAAGGGGGCTCAAGGTTTAGGGTGTTTATCCCTAAGCCCTAAACCCCTAAACCCTAAAACTCTACCCTCTCTGCCGTAGTGTCTCGGAAAGCCCCAGATCGGAGAAGAGGTGTTCCAAACAAAATACTGCCACCCTGAAAATCCCTAAACAAGTTTAGCGTATCTGACAGCAGGGCACACCTGCATATTCAGCTCACGGCCCGACCATTGCCCTGAACGTGGGTATTAAGGTAGTTCTTTTAAATGAAGGTCCCTTCGAAGGTCCCGCAAATGCTAGGCACCCTTAGAGAACGGAGCCTAAATCGGACCGCTAGTTGAGAGAACTACCCATGGTGTGGGTTTCGGTAGGCCCTAAAACGCGCGCTCAGCGGCTCCTCTAAGGCAGCCCCATGGAGGACCCATTCGAACTTGCTAGGCCATCGAACCCAACAGAAGCAATCACAGATTCTTGATAAGTCAAGCTGTATACCACAACTTAGTATTTTGTTTGCCCCCCTTAAGATCGGTTGATGATATAAATCCTGCATTACCCATATCATAAGGAACATACCATAATTCCCATAGTTTAGGGTCCTTACGGCAATGCAGGATTTATATTTTATATCATCAACAGTATGAAGCGACCCAAGCGAACTTTGTAATTAACACAACCCTAGCAAAAAGATCCACATGCATCCGAGGATGTCTGGGAATGTGTGTGAGATCACCCTCGAGGAAGTCGGACGACGACTTAACTGAGCGAACGGGTACTGTAGTCCGCCGGCTAGCCGGCGCGACCACCCACAGTGGGAGTTCCTTGAATTCGGGTCCTATCCTGCTTCAGCGGACTCTCCCGCAATCTCTTTGTAATAGCGACAGCCGCGGCAGAAGCTTCGGCAAGCAAAGGTTAATCTAAACCCTAAACCCTAAACCCCTAAACCCTAAACCCTAAAATGAACCTTTGGGACGGACGTATACAAGGAAGCCTTCTAATCCCTACCCTAACCCCAAATAACCTACCCTTTTTCAGGACTTGCGCAGGAAATCATCATTCGGAACTCCCCCCCCCAAAAAAGGTAGGGTTTTCTATAAGGTCCTGGGAATCCCCAAGCCGGTGCGGGATCCCAATCCCAAGGCTTTTCGTACACCACGTAATTCAACCCTAAACCCTAAACCTAAACCCTAAACCTAAACCATAAATCTAAAGCCTAAACCCTGATTTCATTTGCTGCCAAAAGCATCGGCTGGCCTCCACTTTGAAGTTGCTGCGCGGTACTCTGCGGCGTGAAAGACGCCGCTGCCGCGTCGTCGGCTGTGCCTAAAATCGATTCCAGCTGAGCCAAGAAAAAAGCAACCACGACAAGCACCCAGCTGTGGCCATACAATTTGATTGGCTTATTTAAATCAGAAAATGGAAATGGTCAGGACAACAAAAACCGCATGAAGGCAACACATGAAGGCCCCTCAGCACTTGGCTTCAGGTCCAGAGTATAAGTTATGAATCTTCCTTGAACCCTAAACCCGAAACCCTGAACCCTAAACCCTAAACCCTAAAACCCTAAACCCTAAGCCCGAAACCCTAAACCCTATTCGGGTTCAAGGTGCGTCAGTTTTGGGATTAGGGTTTACAGGTGTTCGATCCTATACAAAACACCGATCTGGAGCCCCAACCTTTCCGAGCTCACGGATCCCAAACGTTTAGGGTTTTGTTGTTGTGAAGACCCAGGGTCTTCTCTGATTGTAGACGGTGCTCCAGGCATTATCTCAAAATGCAACCATGGCAGCACGAGCGAATTGGCACTTGCCTTGTTTTCCTAGCACGACAACAAACGTAATCACGGATCTGACTGCACAAGCACTGCTGACTAAATGTACAAGGGTCAGCTGTTTCGCTTGTAATGGCAAGCTCTGTTGACTAGGTGTACATGTGTCAACTGTTTCGCTCGCTAGTGTACTGTACAGCTTCAAACTGACGTGGCCTCAAGGACGTATTACCGCAGCCTTGTCCTTGAGGGATGAGCGGCCGCACACACACGGAAGTATCATCACTGACCTCGGCATTTTCAGAGGTTTAGGGTCTATGGATTAGGCTTTAGGATTTAGGGTTTAGGATTTAAGGTTTAGGATTTAGGGTTTAGGGTTTAGGGTTTCGGGACCTTTCCTTTAGGATCTAGGGTTTAGGGACCTTTCCTTTAGGGTTTAGGGTTTGGGGACCTTGGCTTCAGGGTTTAGGGACATTTACTTTCGGGCTTAGGGTTTAGGGACTTTTGCTTATAATGAACTCCGGTTTCTTAAGGGCCTTAACACCCGGATCCTCGTTGGTTCTACATGGCTTCTCTAAGCCCTAAGTCTTGGGCACTGCCCCCACTCTGCAACATGAGATAAGATTTATCGAACTGCTATACATAGGCCTTAATCTAACCCCGAATACATACCGCTACAGGGTGGGGGGGCGGAGTACGTACCTAAACCCTAAACCCTAAACCCTAAACACCCTAAACCCTAAACCCTAAACGCCCTAAACCCTACGCCCTAAGCAGGTGGAAGCACTGCAAGCCGAAGTGGCGCGGCTCAGGCCAGAAGCAGCGAGTAAGGCTTCAGGGTTTAGGGCAAAGGGGGGCTTAGGGGAGTAGGGGTTCATTTCGGGTTTCAGGGTTCTAAGTTTAGGGTTTAGGGCTCAGGGGGGTTAGGGGTTCATGCCCAGTCATGCCCAAACCCTAAGCCCTAAAGCCTAAACCCCTAAACCCCTAAACCCTAAACCCCTGACGCTTCCGGGTTCAGGGTTCTAAGTTTAGGGTATCAGGGTTTAGCGACTTTGGGGATCCGAAACCCAAAAAATTAAACTTTTCAGGGTTTCGAGGCTTTGAGTAGGTTAGGAGGTGTTCTTGAGGTTTAGGGTTTGGGGTTTAGGATGCAAGGTTTAGGGACATTTTTCGGTGTTTAGAGCCTTAGGCACGCGCTTTAGGGGCATTTTTCGGATTGACTGCTGAAGCTCTGTGCAGACCCTACTATAGAAGCGCCATGCAGCCCTATTCCCCTCCAGCCCAGAACGGTGCCCTCCGATTCAGAGATTACGGAACCACGTTCCTAGACCCTCCATCTACCTTCAATTAGACCCGAAATGCCCATTATTGGGGACCATATACCCTTATTTGAGGGTACAAGGAGGGTCCTGGTGATTATGGATTCTACAATGAAACCTCCAACAGGAAGCTCAACCCCAAACCCTAAACCCTCAAACCCCTAACCCCAACCCAAGCCCTATAAATCCCTCTACCCACAAGCTCCTAAGTAGTTCCTTTTTGTGGTTCATAGCCGGAATCCTATAAGGTAATCCCAAAACTTAACTACTAAGGAGCCTATGGGGGTAAGCCCTAAACCTTGGGAACCTAGTCCCCTCAAACTAGGTGAAATAATGGCCCAAAACCTATCAAGGGCTTTTTTTTTTACATACTTTTGGGTTCTACATGCTTTTGGGAAGCCCTAAGCCTTAGGAAGCCTTAAGCGCTGAAGCAGAAACTGTCCTTTTTCCAGGGCGGGCCCTCATTCCGCCGAGGTCGGTCAGGGAACTTGTGCTGGAGGGTTTAGTGGTTTTCTTGAGGGTACCACAAAGGGTTTAGGGTTTAGGATTTAGGGTTTAGGGTTTAGGGTTATTTTTTTAGTGGTTTTCTTGAGGGCACCTTTAGGGATTTCTACAAAATCCTTTAATTAAGGGTTGCTTTTAGAGTGCGTTTAAGGGATTCCTACAAAATCCCTCAATTCAGGGTTGCTTTTAGGGTACCTTTAAGGGTTCCTGCAAAATCCTTTAACTAAGGGTTGCTTTTTGGGGTACCACAAAAGGGTACCATTAAGGCTACCTCGAGGGTTCCCTTAAGGGTTCTGGGGTGGTTGTCGATACGTTTGTTTGAGCAATCGTACGATGATTCGTTGTTATCCTAACCCTCCAGGTACCTACTATATAGGGCCTTAGGGGCTCTAGTACCCTATATAGTAGGTACCTGGGGGGTTAGGGTTATGTGGTGTTTTGAGTTTTGTTGTGACGGCTTTGAGGCTCAAGATCCAGGGAAACTTCAGGTTTAGGGGCTGGGAATGTACTCTCCTGCTACAGAGTCGTAAGAATCATGATCGCCAAGATGGTAATAGTCGTCATCATAGCCCTAAGCCCTAAAACCCTTAACC